GACCTGAAGTTGGTTTTTTGACTCTGTCGATTAAAACGTTTTGCGCCTAATATGTTTCACATAAAGGGGTTTCGGGTAATTATATCACTCTTTTTAAGGCTTTTCATTAGAGCAACTGTGATCTCTTGTTACCTTTTCGAGGTCATCATTTGAGTTGTTATGCTTTTCGTTGTCCGCCAGGAATATTTTGTCCTGTATCTTTATTTAGCTTTGTCATGTATGTGCTTCCGCCGCGTGGCAAGCTTTGGAGTGTCAACCGCCTCCACAAATCTGTCATCATTCAAGTTCCTCCTGATCATTGTAAACCTTGTACAATTTTACTTTGTAGTCTTTTTTGCTTCTCGTGATTAACATTTCCCCAACTTTGCTGTTCTTGGTTACTATATGAGTATATGAAGTATACCTAAAACCGCGCTGCAAACTGCGCATTTTAGCTTTCAGTGTTTTCACCCTCCTGCAGGTCGGCTATCAAGCTTTGCTAACTAAAACTCTGTCACTGATACATGGGTGTTTTGCTGTGTTTGTAAGACATACATGTATGACCTAAGTGTGACCATTACTCAACGATGCTAGATCCTGTAGATATCTACTGACTAGACCTTCTTAATATCTTCGTTTTCCAGCGGCATAGTCGCAGTTTTTTTACGATAGATTTCTTGGTACTCATATCGCAACAAGTCTTTGTTTCAGGTAAAAGTAAATTATGAATAAAATATCACGTTCACGTTGATTACTGCAGTGACATCTGGAAACAAGTTATTTGAAGCAATAGCTGTTTAACTGCAATGTGAAAAGAAGTTTGACTGGAACTAAGAAGATTATAAAAACGTTTGTAGTATGTTTTAGTGAAAGTTAGGTAACTTGGTTTGATTGACGGTATGGAGTAATTTTTCTGCTAGCTGAAACGTTCAAATGATTTCATTTCTTCATAAGATTTTCGTGTAAACTGACTAGTTAGTAGTTAGCATCAGCTCAGGAAACTTGGCTACTTCCGGTAAATCCGTCAAAATTTTGTATAAACTGCGACAAAGCCACTTGAAAGGACTATAGTCATCTGGGCGTAGATGAAGCGTTGTGTTGCTGTGTTTTCTTCCAGCTCATACTTACTTCAGCAATCATCTCATGTCAATGCACGTTTTGGCTTCAAACGGGGGAAACATTTTCATACTATCTCTATTGGTTGAGTTCCTCAAACTCCCCAGCTTACTTTGCGTAGTTCTATCGACCTAGGCTGGACATTGCTCACCCAGTGATTCCACCATATATGAGCGATTAGGCAAAGAAACCTGTACTGGAATATTCTTAGTAACCTATTCGCATTTTATCTTTTTAGTGAGCATGTCTCATATTCATGTATAGTGAGACAGAGTGGAATACAAGACAGTGTTTTAGTTTTTGAGTAAGTATGCAGATATCTCACGGGCACCATGGTTAATGGCAGTTGACAAACGTAAGCGGGTGTTTAAGTTCTAGTTAAGATTTCATCAACAACTAACTCATTCGGATTGCTATAACTTTATAAGTGAAGTGATCAACTTAACAGACTACTTCACCCTCTATCCTTAAAAGAAGGAGTCGATTCAGGCCGGCCTTTTTACTTTTCCTATTGTCAAATGGATTTCTTCCGTTATTTAAACAATTAGCTCTAAATGTATTTTCTCAGTAACATGACATATTTTGTACTAGCAATCCTGGTATTGTTCTGTGGTTTAAGATTGTCGTAGAATTTCGGTAAACGTGAATTTTCTTTTGGTAAGGATCAGTGTAGATACTTTTGTCGGTTTTACTAAATTTTTACGGTTGATTTTTTGGGTTCTTTTCCTGCCAATTTAGATTAAATTTGTTGCTCACCGAGAACCTTTTAGATTGCATGTTTTATGCTGTTATAATAATTGATAAATTAAACGCGTTTTGCTTTTGCTTGTTGCTATTTTCGCATGCATTATTTTCATTCCACTTGTGATAATCTGAAGTAGTAGTTAAGTGATTATTTTTTTCTAATGAACTTCATGATTTTTTTCATCTTTCGTCTTATTATTCGTTCGTACACAGATTTCAAACCTAATACAAATGATGCGGGTAAAAATCTACCTCTGCTATCAGTTGTCAGTGAAGAGCAGATACGTTTGTTTAATTTGCCGAATTTACATCTGAAATACAAAGCTCGTATAACAGCTACAGATGGTTACCGCATTAAATCAGCTTCAATAATTGGATTTAGAACACATGGAAAAGTCAGTTCGTCCTTATCAAAGGAGTCCAATGGTTAGTAGTGATAGCAAGTTTTGTTCCTTTAAAGACTATATATTGTAATTACAAATACATTGTAATTTGTCATGTGTTAGATGCTATATTTTGTTATTTTACTTTTCCATGTACTTTCTAGTCGATTCAACTTGTGGTGACCTTGACCGTTCAATTGCTAGTGGAGTGTCTGTGACTTCTCATAAAGACCAGAATTGTGAATATTCATTCGTCTTTACCAATGTTGGTGGTCAGACTGTTGTTCTCAGCATGCCACAACTTCGTCGAATGGACACCTTACATCTACTAGATTCTCATGATGTTGTTGCTGTCAGTTCAGTTGTATTTTCTCAGCCTGGAAGTACGCATGTTAATGCTCCTGGTCATGTTCATGGGCCTGCTCTTGGACTTTATCAGTTAGCTCCCGGTCAAGTATGTCTGCATTATATTAATGTATATTGCTTCATAGCATGCCATTTTTGTCAAATTTACCTCAAGCCTTTTTAACTGAACTGTATATTGATTGCTCGACTTTACTTCTGTCAACTTACGTCACCTGTGGCGCCGCCGTGGTATGCGATTGTCTATTGAGGGTCGCGTGTTCTGCACAGCAGTCCGGTCTGTTCTACTGTATGGCTGTGAAACATGGCCATTGAAGGTGGAAGACATGAGAAGGCTTGATGTGTTTGATCACCGTTGCCTTCGTAGTATAAGCCGTATTTCGTGGTGTCACCACGTGAGTAACCCAGACGTCAGGTGTAAAGTTTGGGGAGAAGAGGTAAATCAGTTGACACGGTTGTGAACCTTCATCGACTAAGATGGTTGGGACATATGTTATGCCTATTCGCTGATTGCCTCATCACACAATGTTTGTCGAAGTAGGTTCAGGCTGGAGAAAGGCCCGAGGTGGCCAGACTAAAGCATGGCACGAATATATGATGTCTTTGACTGTTGATTTGAGCCGTGTAAGGCGAAGAAGGCTAGCCGGTTGGGGTCCGCGTTACAAAAGGAATCAGTGGTTAGAGACTCTAGGTGATATGGCTCAGAATCGATGTCAGTGGCACAGATGTATACATACACATTATCCTCATGTTAACGACGCTATACCGAATCTCACCATATTTCTCATTCTTCCTTTCTCTCTTTTAGTACTTTATATTTCTTTTGACTGAATTTTCTTTTCTTCATCTTCTACTACACTGCTTTTTACTTGACTTACTGATATGAGCTGTGGCAACTTGGACCGTTACGCAGTGATGCCTGTTCCTATGTTGATGATGATAATTGTGAAGTATAGCAACTCGAGCCCGATGGACCTGTGTGTGATGTTCTACGTTGATTTTGTCTGTTTTGCTGTTAGGTATTCCTATTTTCATCTGTTGTAAACAAGTGCTCATGTTCGTCAGCCTTTTTTCATTCCTACAAATATCCGATTAGTTGGTGTTAAAACAGATGATTCAGTTGTACTCCACACTTTTTTAGCCGCCAATGAAACAGAAATCGTTTATTGTGGATATTTATCTGATTTCAAGTTGTTATTCATCGAAGACTGACATCAGTTGGAGGAACAAAGGAAACCTGGGAGCACTGGACAGCTGTTTCGTCCTAGTATGAAGTCGTGGGTGCGCACTGCTGAGGAGTCCCATACTAGGACGAAACAGCTGTCCAGTGCTCCCAGGTTTCCTTTGTTCCTCCAACTGATGTCAGTCTTCGATGAATAACAACTTGAAATATTTCCAAATCTCCACAACCCCCTCAAAAACTTAATTTATCTGATTGTCCCAATTAGCGTAATTATTGAACAGTTTAAAAATCCCTGTTGACTTTCTGGTTGCGACAGATTTGAGAAAGATTTCATCTTTTTTCTCAGGAATCGGGTTTCCATTCTTTAAAAATAAGTGCCGCTGTGATACTTTTGTTAGCACTTACTTTATATTTACGTGTTTCTTTGTTCCACTTGAAAAAGCTTACACTATTTGATGTTATACGTACTGGACAGAAAGCAAGCCTACTTGGAGTATCTTATCGCCCTATATATCGACTTTCATTGACGGGAACTACAAAGTCGGATTTGAAAAACTTTTCAGACAAAACAAATGGAACTGGTGATAGTGGAATTTCCTATAGAAGTGTTCTGTCAAACAACCAAAGTATGCAATATCTCAGAATTCGTCACAAAATCTATCTGATTCTGTTTTATCTCGTTATCGGAGTGACTCAGTAAGAAATGGTCTTGTATCTCCCTCTTCTGTGACATCGGCAAATGATGGAATCACCTACAGGTAGGTATATTGTTGGTGATTAAGTCTGGTAATTTATTTATTTTTAAAGTTCTTATTTCTGATTACTAACATGTGTGGAGTTGCTTCATTTTTTTATGGATACAAATAGCGCCACTTGAGTTCAATCTGAAGCAAACCAGCAAGTCTTTATTAAAGGTAATCCGTTACCGAGGTTCGTTTTCTGGATTATCCGACTTTATTTTGACGGCGCTGACTCCTAGGCAAGGGATATGTAAAATATGTATCTTATGTTTTGCATATTTTTTCTTAATCAACTGCAATATATTTATTCTTTCTTTAGTATCGAAAAACAATGTGCTATATAAATAATTTTCAATTAAGGCAAAGAAAAGCTGTAGATCTCAATGGATTTCAGAAAAATCTAGCTGGTTACTTTCCTTTCCGTTGATAAACTGTTAAATCTCAGTACTTAAATGCATCGTAGCATCTAACACCAAACATATTATTCAGTGTTTCGTGATCTATACAAGGTTTCGTGTTACATAGAGAGAATCAACAACTGCGAAAAAATCAAATTTTCATCAACGCCGCATTTTCGAAAGCTCCTGAAAATAGATTCAAACTTCACTTGACCTTGACTAGAATCTTAAAACTTGATTACAATATACTACTATTTGTAGAAACCACTTGCTTATCAGATCAACAGGATCAAGCCACTTGCTGTTCTGAAGAGTTCAGCACGACTCCAGTCGAGTGATACGATAGTCCAGTGTTCAGACCACATTGATTCGACCATCGAAATCTGCAGATCAACGTTGTTCAACTGAATATTCCATCTTGCTTTCAAAGATCTAGTTAGAAGCAATTGAAGTTCGTATCTGTTCTTTAACTGCTTAAAAGGTTTCCGTAAATGATTGAATAAATGAAGCTTCAGTGTTCTATGCATTCCAAACCTATTTTATTCTAGCTGATGGTTTTCAAATGATTAGCATTTCTGTTGTATTTTCGGTTCAGTAACGGCTGTATGCAATTGTAATACCTGTTGATTATGCTTATTTTGAGGCATAAAGCATTTAGCATTCGAAGAATTAGTTTTCGGCATCCACTTTGGTTTTATTTAAGAATATTACAACCCAGTAGATTTATTATTGTATTTCGTTTGTTGCGAATAATATTGACTGCAAAAACTTATCAAGTAGCGGGTGTATAACAAGTTGAGTTGAGAACAGTTGAACACATCAGGATCGATCTAATGGATTTTTAAAACGTAACTTAGAGGCTTGTGAGATAATGTAAGTATCGGAACTTGTAGCCTTTGTGTTATGGCTTTTTTCATGTGTCAGTTTGTTGACAAAATACGTATACATATAAACGTGTTTGTCCCCGTTATTTATTTTAGGAATGGTTAGGAAGATGATATTTGTAGTATGTAACTTATCTGAGTGAGTGTTAGTAACAATTTGCGGTGATTACTAGGGCTGATAAACAAGCGAAAATAATGTGAATTTTAGGTGTGAAAACCGGTCAGTTGAAAAGTTACTGAACTGAAACTATCAACGGGATCTAAAACACGGTTTTATAAACACCATGATATTGCAATGTTTTCAGTTAAATGACAACTCACTTGTGTTGCTCCAGTGGTATATGCTAGTGGAATCTTTTATTCATATTCGATAAAAGTGACCTAATGTATCTTTTCTATACTTTTTTACAGAAACTATGTGTCATGAATTGAGTGACTAATTTTGTGTGAACAACAGTTACTACTTTTAAAGAGAGTATTCTAATATCAAATACAGTGAATTATCATGTTGAAACCTACCGCAAACATATCAATCTTTAAATTATGCTGTTTATTTTAATTTCTGTTTTGTTCTTTCTTCTCTTTTTTTTATAATGTATGGCTTAATGAATCCTGACTAATATGCATATATCTGTAATAATTTTTATGCTTTTTTGTGTGATTACCGCTCCTCTCTCTATCTACCCTTTAATCAGAATTGCTTTGTTTCCCTAATCTTTAATGTGTAAACGTGCTCAATGATTGGATTTTACTCAGTATTTTTCTCTTAAGAGATTTTCGTTGAGCGCTTGGTCATGGATAATTTTTATTCTATATCTCATTTAACAGGATTTAATTTTTTCACTGTTGAGGGTGCTCATCTTCATTTCCATATTCATTGAAAGTAAGCCTTACATTTTATACATATATCAACGAGTGTTTTTAGAATAATTGTACCTATGATTTTACGTGTAATCTTATGACTATCAATATCAAAGCATTAACGACCCCATGAAACAGAAAACAGATCTCCCAGCAGTTGTTGTTTCCTAGTAAATTGTTATTAATCCTGTAAAACTGTTACGTAATTGTTTTCCTTTTTTCTTTTATCATGGTGAACATGTATGAACCTATGCATATTTGACGTATATTTTGTATCATTAATATTGAGGTTACTGCTTTATAGTCAATTGTCGTATGCATTTTTGACTTTTAACCGGCTAAATAAAACTTTACATCTATACATTGCTTAGGAAATGATTCACGCCATTTGTTCGATCAAAGTGTGTGATGTATTTAGGGCTATGCGATGAGGTGTGTATCACACTGTTGAATACTGGTATTTTTACGGATGATAAAAGCGGAGGTAGAAAGTAAGATTTATTTGCTATTCGAAAACAAATATTTGAGAATAAAAAAGTAGTTATTTTTATATGCGAAAACTGAAGAATTAACAGAAGAATGTGAAAAGTGCAGATCAGTTGCTTTTTTTCGCTTGCAGGTTTAGTAAACTTTTGTTGTATCTGGGATATGTTTTCTAGCTTCGTACCAAAGTTTCAAGATTTCTTCCCATTTACTCAACCATACTTTCGGTATTGCTTGACATGCTATCTTATAACATGGTAAACAGACACCCTGAATGAAACCAACCTTGATATAAAAAAAGTTGATCAAGCAGATGAGTTTGGCAAGCAATATGACTCAAGTAATTTCCTTGGTTATGTAATGTAAATGAAATGTTTTAGTGATTGCTTCTGTGTGCTGAAGTTCTTGTATAAATGTTGAGACACTATCACCATCATAATGATTACTATTTCCAGTCCTAACAATAAGAACATAGTACAATCCAATGTGTGAGAACCGCTTGTGTCATCAATACATTTGTAATATTTACACTTTGTTTTTAAAAAGACCTAAATCGTTTTGTCTAGGACCGCACACATTCACTCAGTTAGTTTTGCTTCTGGTAAACTGTTATGCTGTCTAATCACATTCCTTGAAGGCTACGAGTCGAACCGAAATAGACAAAAGGAATTTCAGATAGTGTCCTTGTATGCACTGAAGATTGCCTCATCGCGATTCAAGTTCTTTGGAATTTATAACATATGCGAACGTTTTTCTGTGAGATTTTTTCATGCATTATAAAATTAGTCCAATGTGATACTCAATTTGATAACATAAACAAGCTTTACAGCTGTTAACATCTGTTTCCAAGTGATTTGCAACTTATTCGGGCTATAAGAAATATGATTTTTGCTCTGATTCATTTAGTAAGGAAAGTGATCCAGAGAATTAATTTATACAGTTTACTCAGCTGAAAATAAATCCAGTAAATGCTACTGTTTCACTGAGTGGTATTTCTAATAAACAGACTAAATTGGAAAATAAAACTGGTTTTTCTTCAATATCTGTAGTTATAAATTACCTATCCATTTGCTAGTCGATCCCCCTCATCTCGATCCATTAAAATCAATGGTTTGCTATTCGTGGCCTTCTCTTCATCACCCCTGGAAAACAAAAAATATATTCTTTATATCTATTCAAGGAAACGTAATATATGTGGAAATACAGTATATATCATGTTACTATGCCTTAAGGGTTGGTCTATTTGATTGATACAAATATATGGTCTTCTATCAGTAAATACAAAATGACGGTACGGCAAAAGTTCGTTATTTAATGAGATACAGCATTCAGTATCCATTTAAAAATGACGGAGTAATAATTCCAGTTTGCATGTTATCGAAGTTCGAAATGTTCACTATTTGCTGTATATCAGCTAGCTTAGGAATCTGATTTTTACAGCAGAATACCGGTGATAAAATGAGCAGTTCAGTAGTGACATTTTTAACTATATTATCAAATAAAAACGAAAGTTACTGAAATATATTTTTACGATGACTTCTCACAATGAAACTGTAGTTTCGCATGTTGATCTCCAAGCAGAAGCAATAGAGTCATAATTCCTTGAAAGATCATCCTTAGTGCATGAGTCCGGATCAACGCTTTATAATGTCTAAACCAGAGAAAATCCATACAACACATAGTTAGTTCTTTCAGGATCCTTTTGATTGCAGAGATACTTAGTTGCTGATTTGCATAGTTGGATTATTGAGAAGTAGTTAACATACGGTTCTGAATAATTTTCCAAACTCTTACGTGAGGAAAAAATGTTAGTTTGATAAAATCTGTTGCTTTGCACTGACTCCCCTATAAAACATAATCTTGTTAATGTTTAGTAAACCTCAATAAAAATATTTAAATGACCTGTAGGTGGTATTGGACTCTGTTGATCGAGGACAATTAAATATTCTATCCGATCTTCAACGGTTGAGACTTAATGACAAACACAGGGAAAACTTCATAACTGCTATATTATCCACCAATCAGAACTAGAAAAACAACCTTGCTATTACAAAGCATCCCAAGATTTATTTTACCCGCCTACGGGAACTGAAGTTTTAGTTGCCAGTTACTCAAGCTATATTTTTACTATGTTGGTAAGTGTATGCGAGAAAATTTCATGTTAATGGCATCACTGTGCGTTAAAAACTTATCTAATAACTCCAGACTGACTATTTAAGTGTAAAAATGAGCATTCCAGTAAAATATGAAACTGATATCAAGTGATTGAAAGTAATTGGTCGGACCTAGACGTAAGTTTCGTGAATATTGGGACTCGTCAGCAAGATTTATCATCTGTAACCTCATTGGGAATGATACGCTTTGGAAAATTCCTGCTTGCCTCACCCAGTATTCCGGTCAGAGACATTATCCCTAAGCTATTTGACCTGCGGTTGACCACCTGTATGACTGGGTTACTTGCTTTTAATGCTCACTGGAAGCAACCACTTTCATACAGTCTAGTCCTATACAGTGATAATTTTTGAAATAGACAAACAAAATACAAAACCTCACACGGAACGTCTTCGATTTGCAACCATTCACAACAGTACACATCAATAAGTGGGTGGTGAATGAGTAATATCGAAGTAGACAAAATTTAATGGGGAGAGGATGAACTTGAAAAATGATGGTGAGCGGAAATGTACGCATGTTTGAATAAGTCACAGAGTGACTATCCACGCAATCTACTGCTTTTCAGCCATGCCACGAAAGGTCCCCAAGAATTGATCGCAATCGTCCCTAGGTTCCCAACTAGATAGTCTACTTCTGCCTAAACTGTTCGGACCAGCAGTGAAATGCTTCACCAACTGATCCTAAGTTTTGGCTTGAGCCTTCTTCCAGCCCTGTCCAACTTCGGTGAACATTGTACGTCGAGGTAAGCGGTAGCTCGGCATACGCAACACATATCAATCAAGCCACCTCAGTCAGTGGTGGTCCTTAACTGTATTGACTGACTTGCTTGATTCCTTTAGTCTAGCCTTGACACTGCTACCGTGGTGATACCACCAAGCGCGAGCAATACTGCAAAAACATACGGTCAAAAACCTGTAATCACATCAACTACCAAGGGTCATGTGTCACAGCCGTATTATAGAACTGAATCTCAGTATACTCGTCCTCAGTGCCAAAGATTACTTGAGTTGACAAACGCCAAACTGGCCTTTTATATCCACTTTCCGTATCATCAGGAAGTAACTCCTTTGGGTTGATGCAACTCCCCCGAGTACGTGAAGTGGTCGGTGCGTCCTACCAACTCACTGTCTATCCTTAGACTGGCAGTAGCCTCAAACCAATCCTGAAGCACAAGCTAATATTTTAAGAGGCACGAATCACATGTTTTTATTTTATTTGTTACTATGCCTCTTGATTACTTTTCAGCATTCATATTTTCATTATTTTATGATGAAAATGAAATTTCAATATTTATGTATACTCCACTGCTTGAAACATGCTGGCGAAACATACATTTTTACGTAAAGCATTCGGAAGATGTTTTGGTTAGTCAGCATTTTGTCAAACAAGACAACATTGTCATCGAAGTTGACTAGATGCTTTTTAGGTAGGAGGTCTGTTCCTGCAAAGTTGCAGGTTTCAAGGAAATTAAAAAGAGATATTGATTGCTAGTATCCATATCGGACACCACTGGTTGTCGTCACTTCAAACCTCAACTCGTCGTAAGGCCTTACACTACTGGAAGAGTTTGAGTAAAGAGCATAAGGCACTTACCGGGCTCTCTTCACACAATCAGATATTGCCAAGACACTTCTGAGTCGACAGAGTCGAATACCGCCTACACTTGGGATACGTGATGAGTATCGACCACCGATAAGTGTGCTCATGTGCCAGAACTTGTCGAACGGTGGAGGTTTGCTCTATGTACCGTCGTCCATTTCTGAAATCTGCCTAGCTTACTCGAGCCCATCCGGTTAGGTGTTGGACAACTATGGAACTTATGGATACACATAAGATATTCACCAAACTGATCTTATGTTTGTCACAAGTATACTTTTTTTCTTTCGTAATAACAAAAGTGTTTCAAGATAA